TGTCTGTCCCTTTCAGTGGTTTTTGGGTGTGAGTGAGGTTTTTTGCTAATGAATCAGCATTCACAAGTCCAGCTAAGAAACAAAACAAAAATTCACACACATACACAAACACAAACATACATATACTTGCATATCACAATTTAATTCATATATTTTTGCCTCTCGAGTAGCATAGAAAACAACAATTAGCCTTGCCATTGAAAGGTTTTGTACTCTGTTGCGTATACTCAATGCTTGGCCACTTGGTAATAATGGCCAAGGAGAGGCGCTGCCATGGCCTGCACTCCATTTAATTGCATTGAAACCAAGACCAGCTCCCCTTCTATCTCTCTTTGCCTTTTTTGGCATTCAATTTGAAATAAAAGTTTGGCATTGGGCGCTCTGTGGTTTCAATTAAGTGTTGATTAAATTGCTTCTTTGCAAATTACATTAGAACGAGGTCTGTGCTCTGTTTTATCCATAAAATAGACAATAGAATTTAATGGTTGTCCTAATAATATTATCATACTGTTAACATTGATAGATGCCACGAATGACAGAGGACATGAACGATGTAGAAGGTGTCAAAGAATGGAAGAAAACGCTAGTGGAATTTCCATGATACATACACGTATATTTAATTTAATTTTAACCAGTTGTTTATTATGCATATACACCACTTATATTCATATGTATATCTATAAATAATGACAGAATTCAGCCGAGTCCTCAAGCTGAAAAACATAAAAAATGGCCCCCATAGCATTGGAAAGAAAAACTGTTATTGCTCGAAGCCCCTAGTCAAGGCCCCCAAAGAGGCGAAAGGCAATAAACACAAGCGTAATCATTAATCATGCGCGATCAAAGTCAAAGATACAACAACAAAACCTACACACATGTGCAGGTATGTAGTATCTACATGCGAGTATGTGTGTGTGTGTGTAAGCAGCAAACAGACACAGGCACAGCCACAGACACAGTAGAGGGGCACTCACGCTTACTCAATCAAGTGTACGAGTGTTTGGGGAACAGGCGTTGGATTGGATGGATGATGGCATGCTTGAACTGTTGGATGTTTGCTTGCTTGCTTGCTTGCTTGGGGGTGGCTGCTTTAATCAATTTCAAACAACAAACACAAACACGAAGCTCTGCGCATCGAAAAAGAATGCAAGGTTCCACAGGGAATTATTTTTGAATGGAAGGCCAGCAAACAAACGACAATTATTCACCGAATTTTTCCCATGCCAAAGACTTTGATTGCTGAAAAACCAAAAAATAAAAGTGAAAATTTACGAGTTTCCGCTTTGCCTCTTATGATAATTATGATAATAAGTTAAATGCAAAAATTATGATAATTGGCCAACGAGAAAGCTACGCCCTCGCTTTTAGTGCAATTTCAATAGAGGGATAGAAAGACTGCGCGAGAGAGAGGGAGAGAGAGAGAGAGAGAGATCCACAGGCAAGTGAGAATGAGATTGCTCATACGCCGCATTTGCCCGAGGAGCCATAAAACTATGGAAAAATGTACAATTTCAAGGAAATGCACTCAGCCATATTTATGGCTTGTGGCAAAAACTCAAAGATACTTTTTTGGTTTGCAAAGTTTACTCACAGGAAAGGCCGTGAAAATTGTTTGTTTAACGTTCATCAAAACGGAAAGAGAATGCAACATTCTGAATGCAATCGTTAAAGACCCACAACTTAATATTTATATCAATTTAAGTAGACTGCACAAAGCATGCTTATTTATTTGAATTTCCTTTTATTTTTGCACTGAAATTGCGCCAGAATAAAAGCAGAGTGCGGCATAAACAAACCCCCCAACAAAAACAAATAACAAACTAGCGCCAAACAAAACAGTCCACAAAACAGAACTGAAACGAATACATAGTAAAAGTCCGAGCCCCAGACACGGTAGCAACAATGGATCGTCGCAGTACTGTACTGTACATTTGTGTATTGTATATTTATTTATGAGTTTGGTTTGTTTCCATCGGGGTAGTTTCCCCACTTTACTCTGCTCAGAGTGCTTTGTGGTGGGGCGGGGACAAGGGCCGGGCGGCTCGTTGGTTGCTTAAAAATGCGAAAATCCACAAGTGGCCAGCGTCAAAGCACAGAGATTAGAGGTCAGCGCCACAATAGATACAGATAGCCGGAGGCTAAGGTGACACATGACAATGGATTTCAATGGGGGAGACTTGGATAGATACTACTAACTGGCCTTACAGCTCAAATATTTCAAGCGTTTAAGCGACTACTTACTTTAAAAGTGTTTGAATTTATTATGAAATCTGCAAAGAAACAAAAGAAAAAGAAAGACAATTATTTAATGGAATATTTTGCGGTTACAAATCTTTTAAATATATAGCTAAAATATATATTTCTTTATGGTTTTTGTTTGGTCAAACCTTGAACTTGTTCTCGTTCTCTGTTTTGCTGGTGAGTCCAAAGTACGGTCGAGTATTCCCATTTACATAAACACTTTTTAACAGGGAAATCATAAAAATGCTGGATGATGCTTTGTTTACACAACATTTCCCCTATTTTAATATGGGGTTGCCAATGAAACAATGCAGCAACAGCTGATGAAAAGTGGCAGCTCAAGTGGTTTTGAGGTTAAAGCCATTAAAGAATATTCATGATTAGGCACGTTCCACCACTCATCCTACAAAATGGCATTTTTCTCTAGCTGTAAAATGTTTTTGCTGGTTGCTTTCGGTGCGTGGCAGCTCCAAATTAAACAGACACAATTTAACTTGGCCAAAAAAGATGCAACTAAGTGGCCGGAGGAAACGCTGAACGCAGAAACTTTTGCCAACCTGAATGAACAACAGCAACGGCAACAGCAGCAGTTCTAAAGAGTGCTCGCAGTTAGTTTTCGGAGCTTTGACAAGAGCTGGGAAAACTTTCACTGAGGCTGGTAGAGGAAAGAAGGTGGAGACGGGGGTGGGCTTATATGTATGTTTGTGTGTGTGTGTGAGGCGGAGGAGTGTTGTGTCGTGTCGCATGCCTGCAGGATATGCGACAACTTTGCTTGAGTTGCCCTGACATACTGAAATTTGTTTAAGGATTGTTTAAGGCTATGAGACTAGTACATTCTACGTCTTCTCGCTACCTAAATATTTACAGTGAAAATTCTCTGCGGTGACAGTTCATGCTGGAAATTGTACGCTAGAAAAGACATTTCGTTGGAAAAAGTACTATACATTTTTCTAGCTTAAGAGTTGCTTAATTTGTAAATTATGCGATTGTGCTGGATATTATAGGGCATTTATTATGTCGCCAGTGTTGGGTTTAAAAATAAAAAAGTTACTTTGTAGTCTTCTTGTCTTGCTCAAGTGTCCTGGGTTGAAACTTTTCTAATTGCTGCATAGACACTTTCCAGAAGAACCCACAAAGACGCAAAAACATACTTACATATGGGGCAAACATTGTTTTTCTGCACAGAAAAAGAAAAGTTCAAATGCGTTAGAGAAAACTCTTGAAGCAGAACAACATTTAAAGCAACATCAAACAAGATGTACGCAAAGTTCTAAGCAGGGGAAAACGTTTTTCGGTTTACTTAGAAGTCAGAAAATGGTCGAAGAAATATAATAAGATATAAGAGATATATTTGAAAAGGCTTTAAGGTGCACAAAGAGTAAAGAACGAGCAGTAGCCCATCTGCGATTATTCTAATTTGAAGTACTTTAAAAATTAGGTAGAACGGAAAGGTTCAAATTTAACCATTACCTTTCTCTCTCTCTTTTCCGTTTCGTTTAAGTTTCCTCACTCGATTTCCGCACAGAGGCGGCAACAAGTGTTCTTCGGGGTGCTTGCCGGAACTAGGGACTTGCGCCTGAGACTGGCTATAGGTGTGGGTCTGGGGGGACTGGGGCCATCGGGGCGTGCAGCTGGCGGCTGTGAAGTGAAGTCCCACTCGTTCACGCCATGCTAAAGCAGAATGCGGAACTTGCAAGAACGGAAAATGGCGCAACGAATGCAACGAACCTTATTGTGAACAGCAGCGGAAATGCAACCCAACCAAAGACGATGACGACGACAACGGCTAGAACATCATCGGCTGCTAAGATGGGCGACGCTTTGTCGGCCTCCCTGGCCGACTTGAGCGAACAAGAGAATGGAACGACGGGTGAGTGTGAAAAGTCCTCCAGCCCCGCTGAAATAATCTCTGAAATGAAACCAGCTTCTACGAATCAAATTAGTTTCACAAAGTGAGCATTCTTAGGGTTTATTTTTTACGGTTTTCATCTTGCAGTTTGAAGCTCGCGGCGCGAGACTTTTGCTGCGTTGCCTTGGTTTTGGTCTTGAAATTGAATTATCCATCCCTTTGCTGGCCCATACCCCACTGGGTATCCCCCTGGCTGGCTGATGTAACCCTGCGGCTCTATTTAATTTGGGTTTGTCACGATAGCATCAGCCGCACCCATTTCCCCCTTTGACCTGTCGCGCGTTTGTTGTTTTAATTAAATTTTTACCCCACTGCCGCCTACAGCTCATAATAATTATGGCACTAAACATAATGATGGCCATGATAATATACATAGTTAGTTTTCCTATTAATTTTTGACTTATTTTTGAATGGCGTTGCCTGGGCTAAGCTCAAAATGTCAAAGAGGGATAATTATGCAAGGCTTTTTGAGAGTTGGAAGAACCTCAAACTCAACTGGGAGCACCAATAAAAAGCATCAATAAAAGAAAACAAAACGATGCCTGGAGGGCTGAACAAAAATAAGATATGAACTCTGCAAATATTGCGTGATTTTTGTGTGTTTTTTTGGAGCTGGCAACCTGTTGAATTTCCATGAATGGATAATGATGATTCAAAGTTTTATTTGCTGATGTTGCCTTTGGGCAAGAGAAAAATCCATCCAAATGGAAACATTTTTATTGATTTACATTTTTGTGGCCTTTAAATGGGCTTTGGGTATTTATTTATGGGCATTTTTGGTAAAAACTTTATTTCAATCTGAAGCCAAACAAATTTTAATGTATATTTTATGCTTTAATATTTGTGTTACATTTATTTTTAATCCGGCTGAGGATTTTCCCTGAGCCTTTGTCTTTTATCCAAATAAACAGAAATTGTTATGTATAGGAAATAGGGTAATAAAACTGTGGAAAAGATGCCAGAAATTAAAAATATATTAATCGTTAATTAACAGAAATCTGTAAGTCTCACCCACTGTCATGCATACGAAAATCCAGTACAGAACACAGTGTTCAGGATGCCTAGTTACTTGCCTATTGCTACCCATTGCAGTGCTCAGGGGGACATAGATGATTGTAAATGCCAAAAACAAAGCTTCAGTCACAATATAGACCAGAATGGGAGTTGCGGATTTCTACATTTTAAATACAGTACTAAATGCCTCAAGAGTAGTCCATTTTATGGTATTTTTACATACCATGAGAAGAGACAATGACAAACAATTAGCAGCCACAAAATGTAGCACTCCCCAAAATACATCTAAAATTTCTACAAATATGTAATGAATTAATTTGAATTAAATGTCTGAATTAATATTTGGTGAATTCTCATACCTTCAATCGTATTATTGTTGGAGCCGTTAATTAGTAACCCTGTAAATAATGAATTTGTTTACACATAATTGTAATTTTATGATTTATGTATTTACCAAAGAAAAACGCGAGAGACTCGGTTCCCAAAAGATCAGAGAAGAGCGCTATGACAATGCAAGCGGTTCGTAATGATAGACAGCGGAAAAATGTTTTTGCCTGGAAAAACTGACTCGCCGAGCACATTTCCAGCAACTTTAATTTCTATTTTAAATAATAGTTGTTTGACACAGTTTGCTACGAATCCTTAGCTGAAAATTAGCCTATAAAAGACTACATTTCCAATCATTGCACAACGTTTCTGTTTGGGCTTAACTCATCCTTTAGTTCCCGGTAATAAGAGTAGGTGATGTACATCAAATACAATGTCATACCTTAAATATAAATTAAAATATGATTTTCAAGTTTGCTACAGACTCAAAACATAAAATCTCACCCAGCCAAATGACTACGTACAACCAAAAGGTCACATTATGCCAGACGCTTTGGTTAACAATCAAATTTTTGCCCATCGCAGATGAAATTATACTGAAAATCACTAGATACGAGGCCTGGACCACTTGCAGAAACAAAGGCCCCCAGAACAGAGGCAGACATTGCTATGAAAAGTTCCCAATAATTCAGATTAAATTCGTTTTGGCCCATCCCAAGTCTTACCGATATAAGGGCAGCCAGCAAGACAAAGGAAGCCACGACTGTTAACACATCTGGCACTACTTGCAAAATTGTTAGCGTTACTTCAGCTAGGTTAAGGCATGATAAATATATAAACATATAAATTATGCCTCCGAAGGTCTTACCTGGAAAGGTATATTCTGCCTCATGGGAAGCCGTATCTATCCGTAAAATATAAAATATATATAAAATGTAATGAAAAATATTGAAATTCCCATAAAAATATAAAATACAAGGTTTTATTTACTATTTAATAGATTAAAGATGTAGTCTAAGTTCATTCCAGCACAGAACAGTTCAAAAATGGCAAAAAGAATGCATCCCGTTTGCAGTGATAAACAGCAGCAGCATTTCTTGGCACGAATCATTTTTCAATCACGTTTTATTCACACATTTAATATAATTTTGATTTTGACATAGAAAACAAAATATCCCTTTTAATTTTAGAAACTAAATTCCCCGAAAAAGTATGCTACAGTCCTCGAGATATTTTTTCACAACAAATAGTAAACATTTTTGGCGTTAGGGCATATCATTCTGGATCATTGCCAAAGTTAGCTGGTAATACGATATAATAATGTACACAAAATATGCGGAAAATACTATAAACAAAAAGAGTTCGTTAGTGTAGTATTTACTGAGACGCATTACTCACCGATCCAACCGATAATAAGACACCAATACGCCCCAATGCTATAGACACCCAAATTGACGGTCACGTTTATGTCCAATGTTGTGGCAATAATACTATATAGAAGCTGATATAGCGTCTGGGTGACTTCAAAAGTAAGTGTGATCAAAATCAGATGAATAAAGTCCTGTTTGCATTCCAGTATAAACAACGATTTCTTTTAGATCAGTTTTTAACTCACCAAAAAGAGGGCAATCAACAGGAAGCTCACCCCAATAATTGTTAGAAATTCCGGCATAAGTCTCAAAAGTACCTGCGTGATGCCCTCTGGTCAAAGCTAATTAATATACAAAATGAAACAAGAAATCCAAGAGTCTCTGTACCTGCAAAGATTAACGAATCACTGCGCTCAGCATTTTCTGTGGCAAACAGGCAGACACTACTGTGTATCAAATAACCAACAGATTTTTTGGCGTTCTCTAGTATTTACCTTGCATTGTGGCATTGAACTTATAAATGTGCGAGAAGCATACAATAAGTGCGATGACGGACAGTATAATGCAGCCAGCCCGCAGGGGAAAACAGTACAAGAAATGATTGGCTAGAATCATGTCCTGAAAGTTTTTTAAATTTCAGGTAAACCAAATTGAAAACATGCACGCATAATTTTGAAACTGACATTAAACACACTTGATGCCATATCAGACACACACACAGCTCCAAATAGCTCCTCCATGTCGGCATTCTCGAGCGAATTTGTTGTTTGATTGCTCCAAGCCGGCAGCTGCTGATGCTCTCCTCTCTGGCATCTGGGGTGGAGTGTTAACTTTTTTGCATAATTTCAATTTAAGCAATTTATATTATGGCCTCATTAGCATTAGCCAAGCGCTGCCTGCCTGCCTTCAAGAGTGTGTGGCGTGGCGTGGCATGCGTGGAATCGCTTTTAGCTCTCATCAAGATGCTAATGAAATTATAAAGAAAATTGAGTCTGCCATTTTAACACGAGCATGATGCATAGGCGTTGAAGGGGGCTAAGTGGGTTTTGCAGTAAAGTTTAAATGGAAAAATAATATGGCACAGTTTAGATCTAATCAGTAGCAATTATTAAGTGCTAAGATGCATCCTCTACTGCAATTATTTCGTTAATTTTTAATTGTCTACACATTTTTGCATGAAATCATGTGGATTCTTCAGTTGGTTATACCGTGAATAAACAACAATCAGGCAGAATATATCAAATCCTGAAATGTAAGATACTCAGCCAACATTTTACATGGAACACTCAGTATTCAGACCTACCCAGGGTTAGGAGTATAACGCCCACATATATGGAGCCAGCTAGAGCATCGCCGAAAAATGGATTTCGCACATTTACGATGGCATGGAAGACAATGTAATACGCAATTATGTGCACCGCAAAAAGTCCCATCCATATCAGTAATGATAAAATGTGTTTCTGCAACAAGTGGGAGGAAAGGTCACGCAATAATGGCTAAATCCTTACTCACAAGCATGACAGCCACCAGCAGCAGCACTGCGGCCGAAATCATAAGACAAACGTGGCAGATATTGAACCATTTGATCCAAACATCCGTGCTGGAATCTGAGAGCCAGAGCTAGAAATTCTTCGAACAGAAATATAATTTTTGTCCTTACTTTTCCTGAAGACAAGTTCATCGGTTAAGGTAGCCGCATTCAACAATCCCGATAGGATGGTGTAAAATGCAATTAAAATGCTGCCGCAGTACAATGATATACAGTAGCAGCATTTCCGCAGAGTGCACTTCCCTCGTTGTGGCATCCAAAATAAATATTCATAAAAAGTTTTTGACAACAAATACAAAACAACTTTCGGATTTGTTAAAATAAAAAACTCTTCAAAATGTCAGCCATGATTATGCCCTGCCCCCACCCGGAAACTTGCTCGATAACCCTGAGGCACGCCACTCAAGTCGAACCTTTGGTTTTCGGTCAATAGAAAGTACATTTTCATCTCCTTTAACAAAGTTGTGAGACCATCCTCACTCCTTCCACTCTCTATAAAAACTTCTGCTGCACAGAAAGTTGGGTAAAATCGTTTGCTTTGCCTTTTCTTGCACTTTCTCAATTTTTTCGTATTTCTTTGTCTCCTGCCTTTAATTGAAAGCAGCTGCTGCCGCCAAATCAAGCGGAAGATTGGGGATTGGCTGCTTCCATAATCTGTGGGCATTTTATAGGTCTTTCAAATTTTGGGGATTTAGCAACTTTACCAATTGCAAATTGTCACAATTTTTGAAAGAAATTTTGCTAAATTTCCTAATGTAAATATTTATGAATAATATGAGCAAACTTTTTAATTATATATGAACTCCCTCGATGACGCGAGCTTTTTTCTATTTTTTTTTTCTTATTTTCTCCATTCTGTTCCCATCAATTTTCTCTGCCCTACATTATTAGATATTATATTACATTGCGTTTGGCAAAGGACACTAATCGGATTAGAGAATTGTAGTCTCGGTTCTCATTAGGGCAGGCTGGTAGCTGGTTGGCATATGGCAAGCTTCTTTTCTGATTGATTGCAGCATCAATTTATTTGTCATTAATACCCCGAACATACGACATCGAAGAGCTGTGTTGATGGCCCATTAAATGGCAGAGCAAGAGTCAATACAAAATAATGAAAAAAAAAGAGAGAAAAGAGAGAAAAGAAGAACAGCTCTGCAACATATCATACGATTCAAACACACTAATACATTTATGCAATACCCATTACCTATACCAATGCTCTCTAGCATACTGGGTCCATTGCGAATCTCTTTCAGCCACTCGCAGCATCCACACTGGCAGCTCATCTGTCATCATTGGAATGAGCGGGCGGCTGTGAGGGAGGTTGCTGGTCTTTTCTATAGTGGAATGCTTTCACAGTATCCTCTGAGCCCCCCACTCTCCCTCCTCCATCACATTCCATTCACACATTTCAATTCCTCCATCCCCACTGTATTTATAGCATCTTAATTGAATTTCAATTTTCAATTTTGCTTTTAATTGAATTCAATGAAAAAGTGTCGATGAATCGGCATTCAGTATACGACTACCCTCTGCTCCCTGTTTCCCCTTCCCCGCCCTTTCGCCCTGTCACACTACTATCCCTCCTGTGCCGTTTCTGTTGCTGTTGATTCTGCTGGAGCATTGGAGCACCGCCTGGCTGCCTGACTGCCTGACTGTCTGACTGCCTGTTGATGGCGCCAACGAGGCCACAAAACATCCCAAGTGAGCCTCAATCCTAATAGCACTGAGCGAAATTGTGTGGGAACCAAAAACTAAGATAAAACCTCAGCAATTTTACACACATTGGAAGATTCCAACTAATTTTCTTTATTTATAATCTAACAATAGCAAACTTCATTGCCTTTCTCACAGTGCACAGCCAAGTATGCTGCAGCAGACCCAATGGGCCCCACAATTGGCTTGGTTTGATGTGATTGCGCTCATATTTTGCACACTGATTGGTTTGTGATTGACTGAAAAGTTGTAAATTGATTGGACTGTAGAGAGAAGTGTGATAAACAAACCCATACCTTCCCCTCGTGCCCCCTTTTAGTGGTGGGTAAATAGGTTAGGCAATAAAACATCGAAAATCTCAACCCGATGGGCTATCACTTTCAAGTGCGGTGCTTGGATGTTTGAAGCTTTATGAGGGTCACTTTGATAAAATCAATGCGATTGTAATTATATCGTTTACCTAACGATATGTGAATGTGTGCTTGATTTTTGGCTAGCATTTAGCTTCAATTTTAAATATAAAGAATGCTTTTTCATTTAGCAGGTGGGACTTGTACATCCTAATCTTTGAGTAAAAACTGTCACCATCCAAAGAGGCGAATCAAATCAGACAAATAGAAATTCAAATGAATGCAACTTGCATACGAAATGAGAAATTCCCAGGCACACAAACACACACGAAGCATCTGTGTGTGTCTATCTGCATCTGCATTCTGCTTCATATCTGTATCTGCATTTTGTGTTGACTGTCTGGCTTATTATGCGGGTACCATTCCCCATTTCTAACTGCTCATGAGTTGGCATTTATCATCCATGTGCTCCATGCTCCATGCACCATGCTCCATGCCCCATGGCTCACTCGATATGAGATTTATGCCACTCAACGCAGAACTTGATGCCTACACATTTGCATGGCGGGGGTCGTAGGTGATGATGACAATAATGCCATGCTGCCAGTTCTGCGGGCCCCCAAATAAAAAGCATGGTAAGCAGCGTTGAGGGAAACAAGAAACAGAAAAAAAGGATGTATGCAAATTGCTTTGACTGTGAATGTGCGACCAGAGCTCTCTGTCAGAGCTCTCCTTTTTTTTATTGCTCAAATATGCATATTACGATTCCAGATTTGTGGCACTTATATTTTGCTTGTGGCAACGCGGCTGTGGAAGAATTTTTAGGATGAGTTGAAGTAAGCGTATTTTGCACGCAAATATTTGATATTTGATATCTGCCAGAGATTTGTCTTAAATGGTTTCTGATGTAAAGCTACACGTGAATCGGTTCAATCAGTCAATATCCAACTTAAAAGGGTTCCCCTTTTAAATCACACAAAAACAACCCGCAACTATTATTGTCCTCCCCTAAAAATATATTTCTAAATTTAAGTTTTCATCACCATTGTCCCATATTTAGATGTTTCTTCTCTCTCGGTGCACACACCTTAATAACAAAAATAGCTGCAGGACAGCTCCTTGAACAGGAATGAATGCTGCACGAACTATTTTGGCCATTATCGAAATTGAAAGCTTAAGTGTTTTGGGTCTAATAGCTGATTGACTGGCATGCCCCAGGGAACGGGAAAGCACTGGAAACCGGAAAGAATAGTCAACGTAGAGAAAATTGAGAAACCTGGTAATGCCTGAAAAGGCAGCAAGAGAGAAAAATATGTTGTTGATGTGTGTGCCCTGCAAATGACAACGCCACAGACTGTTGACTCTGCTCGGCATGGCTTTTGTCTTAGCCAGGCCATTATTTACGAGCATCGTGCCAAGGACAGGCAAGAAACAGCTCCGCTCCTGACAGAGAAAATAGAGAGAATACGTGCTCCACGTAGTGTCGTCGCTTTCGTCTCTGGGCTGGCGCATGTCTATTATCTTAAACGTCTGTTGCCAATTTGGCATCCCACTGCCACAGGCATCGCTTCATTCGCATTGACTGCACCTTGATTAATGCGCTGCCAGGACAGAATTTTTTCCCCACTCCCATTCCCATTCCATTTCCTTTCTTTTGCTCCATTTTGCGAACTCTTTTATTGTCCTTTTTCCGTCGTTGTGCTGTCTTCAGTTTGTTGTGGCATCTGCGCACGTTTATTCATTTTGTGTTAGGTGTTGAGTACTTTCTTTTGCGTTTTGGTCCGAGCCGGAAGTGAAACGTTTGCCAATTAACAACGAAAATAGGTTCCCAAATTGAAAACGTTTTGTTGCAGAAATATCCCAGAACATCCTTGAAGGAAGGTGCAAACAGAGATCGTTACACTAATCCATGAAACAAGTTGCCGATGCGATGATGCGGTGCAGCTACCACTAAGCCCCAGCCAAGGCTCCCCTCGCACAGTTTCCCATTCCCTGAGTGTACAATTTGCTGCTCCTATCTGTTCTGCCATCCATTCTTGGCATGCGGCGCACGATTGAGCGTAAAAAGCTTGTAATACTCGTACTCGTGCTCGTACCCTGCCCCAAAGGATGCAATTTACAATGTTGCAGCAGGTGGCAGCACTCGGGAGTGGCTTGGGTGGCAGGGCTCTTCATGGTTCTGCTTCCTCTACACATTTCTATATTTTGTTGCACTTTATGAACAGTAAACGTCCAGTTGCTACCCATCCAACAGGTCGTATGCGAAATATGCGCCAGTTGCATACTTTTGGGTGTGCAAAATTTAGTGTGCAAAATAATAGTAGAAATTCCATTTCGGGCCCAAGTGCAGTGTGGAAGAAAAGTGCATTTAAAACATTTCAAGGGTGTACAAATTTTAAATATTTTCCCGAGGGAGATACGAATAAGACTGGCCA